TCTCCAATTTGCCCTTTGGTGAGGGCTCATCCACTGGAGCCTGGTCAACCTACCAAGCTTCACACCCTTAAATGAGACTGACTCTCCCTCCTTAGGCCGTGTGTGCGTGCGTGTGTGTGTGTGTGTGTGTGTGTGTGTGTGTGTGTGTGTATGTGTGTTTCTTTTAAAGTCTCACGCTCACAACATAAACATAAATAGTTTATACTCTTAAAGAAAAAAATAGCATCAGATACTTCTGAAATCTGAGCTGTATAAAAGTCTCAGGCTCACAACCTAAACATCAATAGTTTGTAATCTTAAGGACAAGAATAGCATCAGATACTTCTGAAATCTCAGCAGTATAAACACTGTATGAATGAATGAATGAATAAATGAATGAATGAAGATTGAAGAAATGGGTAACTGTAATGGATTTGATTGAAAGTAGTCTCTAGAAGGACATGAACACAAAATGGCCAGGTTTAATGAGGGTTGTGGGGATGGAAGTCCAAGTATGGGACAGTGATGGAGGAAGAACATACCTGGGAAGAGCACAGGTAAGAACAGTCATCGGCAGGTGGTGATGAAGAAATAAATAGATGTGATAATAGTTACTGAGTCCAAGTGTGTGACAGACAAAACACCCAAGCTTTACCACATCTACTTTCTCAAATACCTATGAGGCCCATATTATTAGCATTTTTATAGAAAAAGAAACAAGTGGCAGAAACAGAATTCTATAGCCTACATTTAACAGTAATGATGCATGTTCAGACCTGCTTCCCTACTGTCATAACTGCTCTTAGCACTATATCTGAAATTCATAAACACAAGCCATTATTTTAATTTTTTATTTAATAACATACAAGTAAACAGCTGACTAGCCATGTCTTGAAATACACTAAATAAAAATATATTTAGAAGCACTATCGATAAATTCTATAGTGAAAACTGACTGGAACAGATCACTGCTTTTCAAAAAGAAATATTCACAAAACTTTCTGTTTACAGCTAGCAAATAAGCATTTTTAAAGGAAATTCTATGATGCTTGGATATAAGTTCAATGAGCCATAGGCTTTAAAATGTGCTCATCTAAGGCTTCATGCACTCCAAGGTTGACTCAAAATTTATCCTCAAATTGAGAGAAGCACTTTAAACACAGAATTACAACTAAAGGCAGATAAAGAAGATAAATGAAATTCAGTATTACTTCTATTGGTAAGAATATCTATATCATAGTATCTATATTTACTAGGAACAATTTACAGGATGTTTTAAAGTGCTCTCTCACTATAGTTTAGCAATACAACTGAGCAATAGTGTATTAAAAAACACTCAGTAAATGAAATAAGATTTTAGTGATACTGTGTGTGGGGGGGTATTTAATAATTAAAAAAGAACTTTTAACTTAAAATCCTATCTTTCCAATTAAAATAACAAAAACCTCCATGTTACAAAGCAAAGGCACAAGCACAAGCACACTGGTGTACCTCTATGCAGCTAAGTGTCCCAAATCTATGCCATTTAAAGCAAAAAAGCTGCAGCAGGCCAAACAGCTCCTCAGCAGTTATTTCTTGCTTTTCAGACCTAAGGTTAATGTCATCCAATAGTTTTAAATAATTTTTCCCAATTTTATTTATTTATTTATTTATTTATTTATTTATTTATTTATTTATTCCTGTAGCACCAGCTGGCCTGGAACTTTGAAATTATAGTCAACGGAGCTATTTCTGCCTGCCTACACTTGGGAACTCACCACATGTTCAACACTTTCTGGCAGCTATACACAGGAAAAAAAATACAAGGAAAAGAGAGGGAGAGGGAGAGGGAGAGGGAGAGGGAGAGAGAGAGAGAGAGAGAGGGAGAGAGAGAGAGAGAGAGAGAGAGAGAGAGAGAGAGAGAGAGAGAGAGATCAAAAAACAGCCCATAATGAAATCACATTGTTTTTCATGCTTAATTTTTCCAAGCAGCAGTACTACAATTTATATTTTAAAAACTAATTTAAAAGTAATATTATGCATGCAGCATTCAACAAAACTAATTACGTATGTTATAGAAAAAGATCATTAATAATATAGCAATAATGTTCATGCCATGTTCATAAATATCAAGAGCTAAAAATACTCTATTAATTTTAAATGAGAATTTGAGCAGTTCCTAAACCGTAATTTTTGCATCATTAAGGTATTTGCTGGAGTAGTACTATTTTAAATGTCATGGCTAAAATAATTAATATATCACTTCTTTTGTGTGTTATATTCCTTGAAAAAATCTGAAATAACTGAATATAACTCTAAAGTTCAAATATGCACAGTTATGAACAACAGCAACAAATCACTGAAACGAGCAAAACAAACGCATACTTGGTTTCATCCATCACTTCTACTTCTGTGGGGGCTGTGATGGGTGCATTTGAGCGGCCTGCAGTGGGGTCATCTGTGTTTAACTCTCCATTTGTAGAACTTACAACCTGTTTCAAAAAGAAAGAGAAAATATCTTATATATCAAATACACACACATATACATATATAGTAAATAAAGATTAAAATATTTAAATTAGAAAGTTAATATGAGGAATACAAAAATAATTAGTAGGCAGTTGTTCATTACATTTTACTAAAGATCAAAGTCATTCAATATGCACTTTTTGGACTTACTTCCCTTCCATCTTGAAACTCCTACTTCTGCTTTTCTCTAGAAGCTATTCCTACACTGAAGCTTCCATCATCCCTCTTGTGTGCTCATCTTCTCTGGCAAACTGACACATCATGAGTTACTTCTCTTGAAAATTTAGTATTACTTTATGCAATAGATCCTTCAATCTGTAATCAATGAGCTCTCCACCTAACACTGCCCATTCATCCACCTAGTTGTTTAAGCCCCAACTGCAGGAGTCACCATAATTCCTCCTTGACTTAAGCTGCAAATCTAGTATGTATGTAGGCCCTATTAAATCTTCCCTCAGCGTAGCCTTAGCTAATCAGTTCTTACTGCCTCTATATTACTGCAGTCTAAGTCATCATAATCTCTTATATGAGTAAAAGCCTATTAACTGGATTTTTGCTTTTGTAAGTAAAATACACTGTCCACATGGCAACCAGAGTGCCCCTTTTAAGACATAAATCAGACTGATGATAATTCCGTTTTAAAACTCTCCATTCTAGCTTTTAACTTGGAATAAAAAGCTATATTCCTTACCCCACAGGACAAAGTTCCAAATAACTTAATGTCTGCCTATCTAACACCATACTATCCCCTTAGCTCATCAGCTTTTCTATCCAATATCAAGCCTCAGGCCTTAGCATTAACCATGTCCCCGCCTGACATTCTATTCCTATTTATTGTCTGTCTTCTTATTTTTCAGATCCCCAGAGAGCATCTTTATGACAGTCTTTTTCTATCATAAACCTAAAATTTGCAAACAGTCTTTCATGCTATACTTTATTCTTGACTCTGTACATTTAATTGTGATATTTTTATTTCCTAATTTACTGTTTTCCTTGACATTCTGCCTCCACTAAAATTTTCATAACAACAGGAAACAAGTCTTGCTCTCTGATATTCCTGTCAAAAATAAATGAATGCAGCCATGCATGAATGAAATTCCAAGATTCTTAAGATAAAAATAAAAAAGTTCCTGAATTCTCCAAATTCTCTTGGTCCTACAAACTCACTTTATCATACTATTCCTTTTCTTTACTCTTAACACTGAATGTAAGATATACACATTTCACCCTTTTCATATGTCTGAGGTTTTCATTCATTTATTACTTAACTCTTAACTCCATCTGCCTGTCTTTACTTTCAAGTTGAGAATTCTCTTAAAAACAGCTAGTGAGTCTGAAAGATTTACTCAGTTCTTCATTTCCTATACATTTCTCTAGTACTTGGCTTCAGCTGATCCTCTGGAATAAGATGGAGCCATACTCAAAACCAGCTCTAACACCTACCAGCTATGTGACCCTGAGAAAGATACTGTCTTGCTAAACTTTATAGTGTCCTCAATCATGAAATGGGAAAGAGCTGTGTCTATTTAGCAGTTTATGAGGCTGAAATGGGATCAACACTACAGCCAGAGATTATTCAGTGGCGTCCATCATGACTATCAGCTGGTCTTTTTGTAAAGGTATTTTTATAAAGAAGAAATGAAGGTACAATTACAATAAAGGATGTATGTTTATATTCCCAGCCCAAATAGATCAACCAAGCAAATATATTTTTTAAAATTTCACAAATCAAATTCTAAAGAATGGGTCTATTTAGGTGACATTTTTGGAACCATAAATTGAACTAGAAGTCTCTGAAGCATTAGTGTTCATCAAGTTGATTTTTTCTGAAAGCATGTAAAAATGGCAGATAGAAACTAGCTCAGGCATCTTATAGATTTATTATTATTATTCTATTATTCTTTAAAACATTTCCTCTGACATCCCAACTTTGGGAAAAAAAATTTTTTAAGGATATTTAGTAGTTTAAGAAGTTTTAAAAACAAATAGGCCCTGGTTTCTCTATCAGAGTTAAGAGGGCACAGAGGAGAAACAGCCCACAAGTAACTTCCAAAAGAGGTCAGAATGACTTTCAAGTAAAAACAAAGCAAATCTTAACAAGGATAGCAGTATCTTTATGCTCAATGATTTGGGGAAAGGCAGTTTACTTTCAAGATAGGGTTTTGCCATAAAGTCCAGGCTACCTCAAACTTACTACCTTCCTGTCTCGGCCTCCCAAGTGCCAGGGTTACCATGCCTGGCTTATACATAATGATTTTTAAAGGAAAATTAATATATTTTCCAAATATAGTGACTTCATTAAAACTTCCTAAACTACTATCTTCCCAATGGTAAGCACGATTACCAAGGGCACAGCACGGGTTCATAATATTAATCATATATCCAACTATCCAATAAACATCAGTAATGCTGAAACATGTATATTTATATACTTAGATTTCTCTAAAAGATACTTCATTCAAAAGCACACGGATACATGAGATATCATTAAGACAAATTTTCAGAGTTCACTAGAATTGAGGTAGTATACGCAAGAATTATTTGAAACCAACTTTCTTATATACTCTAAAAACTAACTAGAGCAACAATTGATATTGGTGCTATTGTAAAAGATGACCCCAAAGTAAAATGACATTCTTGTCAACCAACCGACTGATGACCCCAAAGTAAAATGACATTCTTGTCAACCAACCGACTGATCTCCTCCCTCCCTCCCTCCCTCCCTCTCGCTTTTGTTTAAGACAGGGTCTCACTCTACTACCCAGGCTTGCCTTGAAATCACTATGCAGCCACAAAGATTGGCCTTGAATTCATAGCAGCACACACCTGCCTCAGCCTCTGAAGTGCTAGGATTATAGGTATGCTTAACCACAACCATTTTTTCATTGATTTTCAAATAAGATAAACCAAAGTGGATTTTCAATTTAACTTTCACTTACAGGGGCATTAATTGTACATTTTCTTTGAGTCTTTGGAGACGTTACTGCAGAATGTTATTAAAACACAAAAGCGGAATAAATTAATAGTACTGACTCAAACCAATGTTGATGGACCAGGAAATTCCCTAAACCAATGAAGATGAACTAGAAATTATTTGCACAGCAGAAACAGTAACTCCACCCTCTACAACCTCTTTGGCAGATGTCAGCATTCCCAAAAGCTATGGACAGATATGATTTTACTCAGTTTTGCTCCTCATTATTAACTCTGCATTATCAAAGAGAAGACAGAGAAGTCTAGAACTAGTCTTAGAAGTAGTTTAGAAAGGTCAGTGCTCACCATGAGCACAGCCGAGAACTTCCTGAGATGGCAACAATCACTCTTCTATGTTTAACATGGACATATGCTGCCACAGCAAGATCCCTTTCCTTACATATTTTTTTCTGTCAGTACTATCTGTGTTTGTATTTTGGACACCATGAAGACTAAAACATCAGACTACTTATCACAATAATATTACCCCTTCATTTTCCTTCCAGTGTCTGGCTGCATACATCTTCTGATGATTTGCGATTCTGTCCCTTTCTTGTCCCAGGTGTTCAAAACCACATTGCTCTTTATAGACTCAAACCAAAAATATCCCAACCATAAAAATTTCCAAACAATCAGGAAGCAAACCATAGTCATCCAGCACATCAGTGTCCTTAATATTTTTTCTTCAATTTGGCTTACAGATGTTCCACTTTTCAGTGGCTTTGCGCTCAATGAGGTTGTGCTACAGGGGAAAGCACGGCTACTATCTGTTGACATCAGAACATTTTAAAACTTAATTTTAGAAATCTGATTTGCTAGACAGAAACATTTCAAAAAGGGCTAGCAACTGAACTCTTCCTTTCCCCCAGCCCCCAGATCCAACCAACCTCTACATTTAGTTATATTCCAATTGTTCCATTTCTCTTCACTAATGGCACTCAGCTATTGACATTTTTTAAAGACACTTGTAGCCCAGGCCATAGCTCAAGCTAGCCTTGAACTTGGGGCAATCCTTCTGCTTCACCCTGAGGCATAAGCCGTTACCAGCTTTGGCCACATGCTTTCTGATAGCTGTGTCCCTGACTCATACTTCTTTACTCAAGTGTCTCTGAAAACGGACCTTTAGATTTTCATGGTAAAATGGCAGGCTGAAGCTGCCTCTGGGACAGTTATGAATGAGAAGAGTCAAGAAGACAAAGAGCAGATTCTATCCCAAAGAGACAGCGTGGAAGAGCTCTGAATCACAGAGTAGGACAGATGGCAAAAAGGAGAAGCAGCATACTGCTTCCTAGAGGAGGGAACAGAAGCCTCATCTAAAAGTGAAGCCCGGAGACCTTGGTGAAAAGACTGGCAATCCTACCCAAAGAACAAGCACACACTTCCCACATGCCTCAGATTCAATTAGGAGTTCTTCTAAGTGACCAGTCACCAGTGGAGAAGTCCTGATCATTCCCCTTATCTTCGACCTTGTACCATCTTGAGAGAGAACCTAAAACCTGGGAGCCTGATAATAAGGAGCAATCACAAGTCAAGGAGTCTGGAGTCAACGCGTCCCAGTCTCAAGTGAGACACTGGTGGCAGTCACAGAGAAAGGGAGAGTGGGCAGACTCAGCTGGAGAAGAGTGAGGGTATGGTAGGCAGCACCCTGCCCCCTTAGTCACTAGAAGCTAAGCCCATCACCAGAGGCTACAACAGATGTCAGCTGGTGAACCAAGCTCTGGAACCATATATCTGCCATGAGGTTCACTGCGATAAGGACTGAAAACTCTGAAGCTCTCGTGGACTACCTGACATCCCCACCACAATTTAAAGCTGAGCAGGTTTTAAAGTGCAGACTGGTATGGCTGTACAGATCTGAATGCTGTGCTTGTATCCCCAACTCCCCGTCACTCAGGAAGGAAACCCCTCTGGCTGGAACATTAGACACCCCAGGGTGTACAAAACAGGGAATCTTAGGACCAGGAGAGAATCTGTCTTGTCCACAAACTGC